ACGCGGCGGGGCGGCGGGGGCTCACTGCCGCTGCACCCGCTGCAGATTCCGCCGCCGCAGAGTTTCTTCAGTGCGCAACAGCGCGATGCCCTCAGCTTCTACCCGTGGCTGCTGAGGAGCCGATACCTGGGACACCGATACCAAGGTGAGGAGAGGGACGGAGTTTTTTTTGTGTTTTTCTACTTTAGTATAAATCTTGAAAACGTATTAATCTGTGCCTGTTTCTAAAGCTTTTCGTCGCAAAGCCACAGTCACCATTTCGAAATATGATAATAATGATAATAATTATTATCATACATTTACAAGTTGTACATACTTCACATTTTCTCAAAATATTTATATACAAAATAATTACGATATTATTTTGGTGAAATAATAAAGAATTGGAAGACATTGGGAAAAATAAATAATTGTATCAAGTTGGCTCATATTTAACCTTTAGCCTTGTCTTTTTCTTTTCATTACATTACTGGTTTAATTTGTTCTGTTATATTCTTACAAATGGTCGTTAAGTATTAGCATCATTACTGGTGAGTGATGATGACGATGATGATGATGGTGACGATGATGATGACTGAGTTAATGGTCTCTCCGGAGACCCTCGTGTTATCGCCATCGGACCGATAATTTAATTTACATTACATGATAAAATATTTTAAACGTCAAATTGACATCGGAAGTGAATTTTTCTATTTTTTCACTTATGGTTTTCTCCTGTGATCTTTTTATGAACACACGAAGCGCAGTTTAACTTTAACTTGTTCAACGTATTCAACCCGTCTTTGTGTGTTTTATTCCTTTTTATGCAACAACCATAAATTAGATTTTTATTTTTTAAAATACATTTTACGTTTTTATAACACATAATAAAGGAAATAGTTATTGAACAAGTCAGATTAAATGTTCAAAAATATTTAACATATTTTTAAAAAATATTTCCATGTCACGAGTTTCAAGAAATTTACGTCATAATTAAAAGATATACTTTACTTTTATTTAATGGCCTGTATCTAAAATATTCGAGATTTAGTTTTACTATTGAGGGTTTTTCATTTTATTAGATTATTATGAAATATAACAAACACACAGTATGAGCATAAATGGTATTTAAAATTTACTTTCTATATAATTATTGCGTGAAAAGATAAATATGTTTGATGGACTAAACAAGTGTTGTGTAAGGAAGTCAGGTGACTGATGTATATCAAAAATAATCTCAAATTTAATGTTTTTTTTGTTCTTCATCGAGTCAATATAAAATTTGTTATTTACATAATGTAAGTTTTTTTTTTCTTAAAGTACATTCATTTATTTAACTCAAATGGCGCTGACTCCGGGTATTTTATCGTTAATTGATTATTTAAATGATTCAAAAATAAATTACATTTAGAAAAGGAATAAAAACCATTAAGAGTCTAAAAAGGCAAACAACGTTATTGAAATAAAAAAAGTAATATAACATCAGTTTTTAAGAAAAAAAAGGTTAAAAGGTAAAATAAACTGCAAATACGTTTGCTTTCTGTGTTTCTGACACAACGGAAATCAAATAACTGAAAGTGAATATCAGAGCGAAAAAAACTGCGGATGATATGAAATAAATAAATAAATTAATAAAGCAGTTTTTGTAATAATATTTAATCGGTTTCTATAGTTTTAATCAATTAAACCGTCACTCAAATGAACAGAGTTTCTCTCTTCACGCTGTTTGAACATAAAATAAACATTAACATCACAATATCGCACCAAATTAGATTCAGCACAGATTTCAAATCTGGACCGAAAGTAAGGAACAAAAAAAAAAGTCACAACTAGAAAATCATTCATCTACAGTTTAACTTTGGTACTATTCTAATGGACTTGCTGTGTTATGGACACAACAAATGGTTTTGTGTGGGTATTAACTTAGCTTTGTCCGTTATTTATTTATATTCCTACAATAATAAAGTTAAATAAAAATAAATGACAAATCCAAAAAATATTATCGTACACTATAATTCTATATTTGATTTTAAATAATCATTTTCTTATCTCATCAATGGAATTTTGCCCAAAATAAATAAAATATAAATACCAAAAACTCATTTGAAGTAAAAAAAATATTGTATTGTAATTGTATTGATTATAGAAACAGTAAAAAAAATTGGCCTGGGGTCCTTTTCAGGTCCAAGCATTTTCTGATTTTTTTTTTGTCTTAAGGATAACTTTTCTGCTCACTATTACTATTTTTTGCTTTCTCAGATTTATATTTAAAGTATAAAAACAAAAAAAGTTGGGTCACTCACATGAAATCTGATGTTCACTGGTGGAGTTTTTCATAGTTTTTAAGGTAGCTCCAAATCACTGAAAAGAAAGATAAAGTATGAGTCAACAACAATAATAATAATTATAATATAATAAGTTTATTTAAATCCTGACCTGTTATGAATAGCTACTATTTTTAGGGACATAATAATCATTAGTGTGTGTGTGTGAGAGAGAGAGGGAAAAGACACAGACAAAACACACTAGAACTAAACACATTTACTTCAGACTCAGAGTCAGATATCATTACCAGATTTGTTTTATTGCTCAAAACTATCTCCTCATCCACCAACAAGCTAACATTTGTGTCTTACTTGAACATAGACCTGGACTCCAGACTCTGACTCCGCCTATATAGTATAGGGTTGAAAACTTGTGACTCATAACCTCTGGCCTGAACTTGTCTTTTTCCTTGAGGGGTCACAAACATCCAACACCTCCTCATTGAAATGTTTTTCTTGGTCTGTTTAAGCTGAGGTAAAATTATTTGACAATATGATTCATTCTTACTGGTGCTTTAAACAAGTGTTTTCTATTGGAATGGATAAGTAGATATATCTCCAGCACCAGACATTGCTAAATCCATCTTACTTTACTTTCAAATTGACTGAGGGAATATTAGAAAGATTAGCTGAAAAGCATTTGTCTTCTGGATGATTTCATTTAATTTACAAATCGCAATATTTGTGTGTTGAGTGTTTTCATGTGGAAAATACTTTTGATAGAAAATAGAAAATGTAATTAATTTTACACCAATAATATCATGTTATTATTGTCATTAATTTATAAAGAATATGAGGGTAACTGTTGACAGTTCATATAGGAAGATGCTCCTTCATCTTCATCATTATCATCATCATAAAAGAACCCATTATTACTACACGCACACACAAACATACTTACACAGGTCTGGACTTGTCTCCAGTGCCAGGGGAGACAGTGTACCATCTGCACCAACTGCAAGATCCCTCCTCCTCCTCCTCACTGTTGTTTAATGCCTCATCCTCCTCCTCCTCTTCCTCCTTTTCATCACCTCAGTCAAACTTTGGGTCCATTTCTTTTCTTTCTACCTTTTATTTTGGTTCTCTCACTTTTACTTCAAGTACTAATTTGCTTATTCTTTCTTTCTCAACCAGTTTTTCTGCTCATCTATTTCATCTCTTACTTTTCTTCTTTTTTTGTCCCTACTCCTCCTCACTGTTGTTTAATGCCTCCTCATCCTCCTCCACTTTCTTTTCATCTGTCTTTTCTTCCTCCATTTCTCGTTACATAATTTTACTACTTCTTTCTCCAGCTCTGGTGCTACTCCTGAACTGAATTTATTTTCGACCCTTTTCTTTTCACCTGCTTTTTTTCTTCTAATTTTTCTTGTCTTTCATGTCCTCTTTCTCTTCCTTTTACTACTACTTCCTTTCCTATTCTCCTAATCTCCCCTTTTTCTATCCTTTTCCTACGACCCTGATTCACTTCCTCCTTCTTCCTCTCATTTCCCTTCTTCTCCTCTTTTTAACTCTCCACATCTTCCTCCTCCTCCTCCTATCATGTGGTTGGTGTTTCTTGGAAGTTTTTGACATCTGATTGACAGGTCAGAGCTCTCTGTGGCTCAGTTTGCAGCACCTGCTCTTGTTTACATTCCTCTTTTTAGTTTTCTTCTTCTTCCTCTCTTCATCACAGCAGATGCCTCGTCACAGACAGGAAGGGCTGGTTCTTCTTTCTCTGCTGACACTCACATCGTTTTCATGTGCTTAAATATGAAACGAGACAGAATTGAGAGTGTGTCTGACCTCTGTTATCACCACATTCAAGTCTGTCTCTGTTGTTTGAGCTTCAGTTCTTTACTTGAAGTTGAAGTGTCTTGTTTTATGCCAATAGGAGGTGTCTTTCTCAGGAAATAAACATCTAACAGACATATAGGCTGTTTGCCCTAAAAGTCAGAAATCAACTACTGTCCCGACAAAGTACTTCATATCTGTGGTCATTATTAATTAAAGGCCATAGTATCTGCAAAAACAATAAAAATACATTTTATTGTTTTTACACTCACAAGCAGATATTCCTCTAGGGGGAGCTTGTTTAGCATGACTGAAGAAAAGTTATCAAAAATGTGTAAATGGAATGCAACTTCATTATAATGCAGTGAGGAATGATTGGTGTTGCAGTTTTCATTTATTTTTATGGAGTTAGGGGTCTTTTTTTGTAATTGGCCCATAGTGATATATACAGTTTTCTGAATCTGAAATCTGAATTTAAAAATTCCAAAGAAAACTCATATTCAACTAAAGTTATGGTGATTCTGTTGAAAAATTGCAGATTCAGATCAAGAACTTACCTTCTCTGAGCTGTAGGGGGGGTGACATCACCAGACACCTATTGAAGAAACAAAATATTATAAATGTAATGTTATATACATGCAGAAGTTGACAAATACCCAACACCTTTAATTTTAAAACATCCTTTCTAAATAATGCATAATGGACCATACCGTAAAAATTGACAAAGAAAAATAATAGAAAAACACTGTAATGCTCTGAGTGTAACTGCATGTTGATGATTAATGTCGTAGACAAAAGATTGCATTTAAGATTCCATTTAAAAGGCCATAGTACAGGAATGGATTTTTGTCACAGTTTTCTTTCTGTGAAAACACTATTGAGTTCCAAGTTAGGTATAAAATCAGACATAATTTGTTTATCGTGTCCGTTGGTGTGTGGTTCAAACGTGGACTTCGTGTCTCTTTGTGTCCAAACTCTGGCGGTTCGACATCTGCTTCATTTTTCGGAGGCTGCATTGAAATGTCCTGATGATGTTTCAATGCATTTTACATAAAAACAAATGAAAGATAATCCTGTGTAGTCCGGTTGAGCACGCCACGCAAAAAAGTCGGTTAGTTGGTGCCTTCGAGGCCGATCAGCGGGACAATGATGGCGTGCAACGTGGCCGCAGATACGTGCGATGGCCTTTTTATCCAACGATGGAGTATTTCAGGAGGTGATATTCACATGCAAAGTGAGCGATGTTGGTGAGAGGCTGGAACTCATCTTGGTTTGCAAATGTAACGGTTGATTTCTGTTGAATGTCAAATTAGACGAAGCGACACTTTAATGTAACTACTGATTCGAGGTCACATGACCTCGAGATTAAGGCGACATGAAGTTAGTGACAAAAAGCCACGTGAAAATTTCACACAAATGTATTTACTGTATATTGCAGCTGTGTATGGTACATAGTAAACGGATGCTGCATGTGTAAAAACAGGAAGTGACTCTCAGGTATTGTAACTTATTCAGTTGGAATGCTAAATCTAGGCAGGTTACATCACAAGTCATAGCCCACCTTGAATTGTGAAAAAAACAAATGGTGACCCATAAGAACATGATATAATATGAATGTGACATGAACAAAAATGGTATTATCAGAATCCACACAGATTTTCTAACACGTACCTGATCACTGTGGTGAACGAAGGCCAACAGAGAAGCTAGTGCAGAGATGTTGATAAATCAGTTCATTCAACACAGGAGCAAATTTTCTGCAAAAAAACAAAATCTGACTTTAAAAAAGGTGTTGTTGTAGGGCAAAAAAAACAATAGATTGATTTAAACCAATATTTTCATGGAAGTGAATGAAATCATGTAGTTTTAATGAGTCATACTATGCTTTTTTTATTGTACATGTAGTTATACGTGTTGGTACGGCACTGTGGGTTGAAGGTTTTTTTTTTCTCTTAGGGTTAATGCAAAAACAAACAATCTGTGTTTGAACAAAAGTAAACCTTATGACAGACAACCTGGCGTCATCTTCACTCCTGTACAAACACACGGGATAAATTTACTGGGTGAGGGAGGGGCAGGAAGATAAGTTCCTCTCACTCAATTGTTATTAATAACATTTAATTGTTTCAATTCTTTTGTTACCTGTTTATTATGTGTTTATTTTTGTCAAAAGAAGGGAGGAGCAACTGTAATCGTGCTACTGACAGGTTTGCGCTGCTGTTAAAGTCATGTATATGTGACCTGAAGAAACCAAACCGTTGCGTCAGCCTGATGTAAACTAGACCTTTAAAATACATGTAAACATACAAGTCAGTTTAAAATGTAAAAAATGAATGCACAAACTCTCTACTCTAAGTGCATGTATGCATGTAATGTATACATGCACTTAGAGTTCACAGAGTTCTTTCCCTCTTTGATTTGAGCAATTTGACAACGAAAACAAAA